AGTGCCTGGAGGTGGGTCCCAGAGCCGCGTGCGCGGGAGGGCGGGCGCTCCGGTAACGCGGGTCCCGCCCCTTCCGAGACCACCTTTCCAGCGACGCCCTCGGTAGTTGAGGTGACTGACAGCTCCAGTGTGAGCCTCTGCCCCTGGAATTCCTGGAGACTCTGAGGCTTTGCAGCAGGGGCCGGATCACAAGCGATTGCTCTCACCCGCTTAACCTGAGACTGATTTTTGAACTTGAGTTTTGAGCCCGGTCACGTGACACTGGAGCACCTGTTTTCTTGGATTTGGGCTTGAGATAGGTCTGGATCATGTGCTCCACGTTGCACCCGCCCCCCTCTCCTGAGCCAACAATTGGGCAAGTAGTTGCTGCATCTGGACATTGAGCTTAGAGGTTGGGTATTGCATGTTAGTTCCACAGCCCCATGCCGGGTCGACCCGGGGTTGAGTTTGCCCCCAGGCCTGTGCCAGATTTCTTGACACGGGGCAGTGCGGTGCTCTGGACTCAGCCTGGAGACCTGGAGTCTTACAGTCGTGGCTCAGTCAGTAGCTTCGCCTGTCAACGGGTCATCTAATCTCTCTGGACCTCAGCTCCATGACCTGTAAAATGGACACACGTGCCCCTACGTGGGAGTCTTGTGAGGCTCCCGTGAGACGATAAGGTGTGGAAGTGCTCTTTGTTTTTTACTTCAACCTAGAGTGCAAGTTGGTGGCTGAACGATTGTTCGGGATCGTCATATGGGAGCCCTTTCATACACCTCCCTCTGGATGTGACTGCATCGCTGCAGAGGCGGGCATGACAGCTGATGGACTTGAGAGCTGTGCTTCTTAGTGGTGGCTGTCTGACTTCCTTGAGTTTTTTCAGATCATATGACAACCCCCCCCCGCCCCCCCAAAAAAAACAAACAAGGTGCCCATCTTGCTTTACTGCTCCAGGTTTGGGCTTGGATTGTTACTCTGCCACTGTTCACTGACTGCAACTTTTCTCTCTGCAAGCTTCTTGTTTCCTTATTTACAAAGTGTTTTATGTTCCCATGTTGGCATTTGCACTTATGTATATTTTTTTCCCTGGGTAAGTCCTTTCGTTGTTAGACTACGATGACTGTTAGGGCAGCCAGGGACCTACAAAATCATTGTATTTGTATTTTACAGCTGAGGTAACTAGTACTCCCCAATCAATGGTGAATTGCCCTGCTGCAGTCCCCTCTGTGGATGGGCGATTTGCAGAATGCAGGCAATCCCAAGCCTGATTCAGGAGCTGCCTCTCTGGGTGGGATGGGGGAGAGGGAAGCCAGTAATAGCTGTGCGGACTTCACCCCCCGCCCCAAAATCATTGTATTTGTATTTTACAGCTGAGGTAACTAGTACTCCCCAATCAATGGTGAATTGCCCTGCTGCAGTCCCCTCTGTGGATGGGCGATTTGCAGAATGCAGGCAATCCCAAGCCTGATTCAGGAGCTGCCTCTCTGGGTGGGATGGGGGAGAGGGAAGCCAGTAATAGCTGTGCGGACTTCACTCCCCGCCCCCACCCCTATCCCCCAGTCCTCCTCTGAAGCAGAGACAAGCCCAGCTTCTGAGGTACAGTGGAGACCTGTAGTGGGTTGTGTGATGTTCTGGTAATGTTCTCAACATATTTGCTTGTCCCAAAGTAATCCCAACTTTTGTTCCCTATTTTAGTTTCCTTTGTTTTCATCCAGATTCTGAAACTGTTTAACAAGCTGCATTCAGGATTAAATTTAGCTCTTCTCACTTTATAAACCAAGGAATTCGACGTCTGCATTTTCCTTTCAGGGTTAACTGTGAGCCAGACAGGCCTTCATCAAAGGCCAGGTCTGTCAGCCCTGCCTCTTCTGAGGACATTTGCACAGGTTCAGGAGACACCCAGAGTGCGCGCTCTCTCGTGGTGGGGTTTTCACACCGTAGAGCAGGGGTGGGTAGGGAAGCTAGGGCAGGGCATTACTGCTAATTCCTGAACTAGCAGCCTCACCTCAGACCATGAGCAAAAACTGTGTATCAGTCAGGGTCCACATAGGACACAGAAACCACACCAGTCACTTGAACAGGGACAGTTTTATATAAAGAATTATTAACCAGGAAAAGGTGATTACTATAAGAGCTGAAAGAACTCTAAAGAATATAGGAAAGCAAATGTATGGTGTAGCTACCACCTCACGGAAGGAATAAGCCAGACCTCCTTTCCCTAAGGCTGACCACAGATCTGTTGGCAGGGCTGGCTACATAATTTGTGGGGTCCAGTCCCCAGTAAAGGTGTGGAGCCTTGTTAAGATCGCAGGAAAAAGTGCTGTCAGCTTTTCCTTCTGAAGTGTCTCAACATCTCGTGGTGTTTTTTATTTGCTACTTAATGTTGCGGTCCCTTGGGCACAGGGATATTCATGGGGTGAGTACAGACCCTCACAAGTGTGCAGGAGCCCTGCCCTGTGATTGGGCACATCTGCAGCCCACCAGCCGCCACCCTCCCCCTCCTGCTAGCAGCTACACCTAGGCATTGAGTCCCAGCCCCTAATGGGGAACTTGAGACAGGTGTCTCCCCTTCCCATGGACCCACTGCTCCATTCCCAGTGTGATTTCACCTTCTGTACTGGAATGTCCTCAGTTACCCGGATAAGGGGTAGGCCGAAGCCCAAGATCACATAGTAAGGAATAGTTGTGTATTCAAACCTAGTTGTCTTCCTTCAAGCCCTGTTCTCATTTGTAAGTAAAAATCTGGCCCTGCCTACTTCACTTCAGGTTCTTGTGCTTGGCATGGGGCTCTGCCCATGGCAGTTGCTCTACCGAGGTTTCTCACCACCACCATTATTGAAATTTTGGACTGGGTAATTTGTTGTGAGGGACTGCCCTATACATTGTGGCATCTCTGACCTCTTCCTGTTAGATGCCAGTAGCACCCCACCAGTGTGACAATCCAGACCGTCTCCAGACACCGCCAGATGTCCTGGGAGGCGGAGTTGTCCTCGGGTGAGAACTGCTGCTCTGATTCAGCAGTCAGATCTTCTGACACTTGTTTTCTCTTCTTCTTCAGCTTTCCGCTTGGCCCTCATCCAACTTCAAGTTTCTTCCATCAAATCGGATAATCTCACTCGAGCTTGTGGCCTTGTCCGGAAGGCAGCCGCACAAGGAGCAAAAATTGTTTCCCTGCCAGTAAGTATGGAGGAGCCACCCCTTTCTGGGAACCGTGGGCCCCACAGAATAGTATCTGCTAGCTCTGGTTTTCCTCTTGTGTCCGGCGTCCAGCAAGGCCCTTTGGGGGCCAGGATTGTGTCATGTTTGTCTGAAAGGTGACCCTCGCAGGGGCCTCTGTGACTGGATGTGCCCATGTGGTTATAGGTCTTTAACGTGAGGATCACCTACTCTGCTCAGAACCCTAGCGGGCTGAAGGACTTACCTAAAGCTGAAATACTCCACCTCGGATATTTCCCTTTTTTCCTTACAGTATAATTCTTTTTTTTTTTTTAAATCCTCTCCCCAGGGTATGTTTTCTCTTGATAGTGAGAGAGAGAGAGAGAGAGAGAGAGAGAGAGAGAGAGAGAGAGGAGAATCATTGACTGGTTGCCTCCTATATGCACCCTGACTAGGAATGAACTTGCAACCTTTTGGTGTATTGGATGACGCTCCAGCCAACTGAGCCACCCAGCCAGGGCTCCTTGTATAATTCTTTATAGAACCAGGATGTATTTTAGAGCCAAACCTCCAACATTTAAAAAAAAAATTTTGAAAACTGAAACTATTAGAAATATTTAGGAAGCCTGTGGTGTCTTTCTAAATGTAGGATTCTGCATCTCTTTTCTAGGTGATTTCTTTTAAAACAACCAGCTGAAGGTTGCACCACATTTGCTTGTCATCAAGTAGGGGGTTAGCTCCAGAGAAGGATCCTGCGGGGTCAGTGGTGGAACTAATTCCAGACAGCCCCTCCTCCACTCTCTCCCTCCATGGGGAAGAGGCAGCCCTTTGAAAACCCTGCTTAGATTGACTGGAGAATTTTCAGGGCTGCCTTGTATAATGGGCTCCAGGCCATCACAGATATGGCCAGTGAGTAGGAACCTTTAACAGGGGAGCTTGAGATCTTAATCTTAATCCCATCTTCGTTACCACTCCAGTCCTGGGACTCACCTGTACTTGAACCCTAATCATGGCCTCTGGTTGGTTTGTGTTACCCGGCATTAGAGTTAAAGGCCAGGAGTGAAGCACTTGAATTCAGCTCTGCTTCTCTATCTGACATACGTCTTGTACAAGCTGGTAAGCTTGAGTTCCTTAGCACCGTGTGTGGTGCACAGGCAATCTCAATAAATGCAATGCGAATGAATTAGAGTCAAAGTCTAGTGGTTTTTGCTTTTCCTTTATCACAGAGCTGTGGCAGACAGACGTGTCCTGGGGAATGAGGTTCCGCAGGATCAGGATGATAGAGCTGAAAGGGAGCTTAAAAACAGTTCGTTTTACCGATGAGGAAATGTCTTAACGTCTGTGGCTTTCAAAGCTTCTGTATTTTTCCAATCCCAGGCTTTATTGCTTTACATAGTTAATATAATTTTGAGCCTATGGATTCATCCTAACGAAGTCCTGAGAGTAAGCCCGTTGCAGTGGGTCTAGGTGCCCTGGGAACATGCAGCTCTCCTGTAGACTCGAGGGAGAGGCTGTTCCCACCTTCTGCCAAGATGGCCAGGGTCTGGCTGAGCACAGGTGCCTTGTCTCTTCTAAGCCCCACCTGACCCAGCTGCTGAGACCTGCCTGTGGCTACAGGCTCTGCAGCCCTGGGACCTCACTGTGTGTGTGTGTGTGTGTGTGTGTTTAATCAGCTGTGTTTTATCCCTTTCAGAGCAGAGCTAGAAGCAGCAGCTCTGTCTTCTTACAGCAGAACTTTAAAATGGGTTGGGTGTTTTGATGTTTTTTTCTCTCTCTCTCTTTTTCTCTGCTAACAATATTCTAGGAATGCTTTAATTCTCCATATGGCACAAACTATTTTCCTGAATATGCAGAGAAAATTCCCGGTGAATCCACACAGAAGCTCTCAGAAGTAGCAAAGGAGTGCAGCATATATCTCATTGGAGGTAACTTTCTACCCTCAAGGTATAATGGCTGAACATTAAAAGCATATGGATAATTTTTGTTGTTTCACTTAAACCATGGAATACGAATTAGACATTGAAAAGAATGAGGTAGGTCTATGTGTAGTAAAGGGGAGAGCTCATCCAGACATACTGGTAAGTGGGAAAAGAGCAGGTTCAATATGATATGAACAAGTACTCCCATTCATATTAATCCCCCACACAAAAAGTTATTGATTTTTATATGTAGTTTTGCATGTAACACATAGTTAGTGTTGTAGAAGGACACACACTGAACTGGTAATGATGATTTTCCCTGGAGAAGGAGTGGGAGTGAAGGCGCAGGTGGCAGTATGGAAAGAAAAACCATACCTGAGTGTCTTTCATTTTACTAATACAGGGTTAAGAAGATAGTTTTTCTTAAAGAGGCTACATACATCAGGGTAGCTTTATGTGGTTGTAAAATAAATTACAAAATGTTCTGTTTGCTTAAAAAAATCACTACAGTAAAACTGTTTAATAAGTACAGCAAACAAAATTATTTCTGTATTTATGCTATATTAAGAATTAGAAATGAGTAAGAGGTGGAGAAAGAAGGCAAAGCAAGAGGAGGCAGGACCGGGAACTACAGTGAGTGATGGACAGACATGTGGCTACATTCCCATCTTGAGGTCTTTGTGATGCAGCTATATTGCTGGGGGGCCTGGTGAATTTAAGTTGAGCAACAGTCAATTCCCCATGTTGCTTCAGTGTTTCAGATAAATTTTGCTCAAGATCAAAGCTGAATTCAGGAACAGTTTGGATGTTTTTGAAACTTGTCTTTAGCATCTGACCTAGTTGTAGAAGGACACACACTGAACTGGTAATGATGATTTTCTACACTAGTTATCTGCACTCTGGAATTTATCTCTGAAAGATTGTATTCAATCTTTAAATGTTCTGATTAAATGACCCTTAGAAGATAGTAAACTGTATTGTTAGACCTAAGTGTATCAAGCCTCTGTCCAGTTCCAAAAGAAGGCTTTATTCAGAATGTTTCCTGTGCCTGTGTCTTTCTCCTCTCAACAAAAGGTTCCATTCCTGAAGAGGATTCTGGGAAATTGTATAACACCTGTGCCGTATTTGGGCCTGATGGAGCTTTACTGGTAAAGCACAGAAAGGTAAGAAGGAAATGTGGCAAGTCTCATTGCCTCTTGAGAATTTACTATGAAGTCCCCTGTTTCTTCTCATTGTATTCTACACACATCAGGCATTTTGACTGGGTGGCACAATTGGCTATTCTTGGATTTGGCATTGTGATATAAATTTTAGACTTGGCCTGTCAAAGGAAAAACCTGCAGGAATTTAGTTAGGATTGTTGAATATATAGAGATCTTCTGGGGAGAGTCGACATCTTTGCAATAGTAAATGCATATACATTTAGGATTATCAAGTCTTCCTGGTAAGTTCATTCTTCTATTGTTACGGAATGTCTGTTCTGCTTTGTTTTCTTTCCCCTTATAATACTTTTTCTTGAAGTTTATTTTATCTCTGATAATACTGTAGCCACTCTTCTTGTACTTAACCTTGGTGCGTCTTTTTTTAATCTTTTCTTTCAAGCTATGTGTGTCTTTATATTTAAAATTTGTAGGTAGCATATAGTTGGGTTTTGCTTTTTTATTCATTCTGACAATCTTTGCCTTTTAACTGAAGTAGTTACTCCATTTATAGTGAATACTACTGTCCCGGTGCACGGATTCGTGCACATTGAAAGGAAATGAATTAGAAGAAATATTTTAATATTGTTATTTGCATCTTGCTAATGAAAAGAAAAATAGGATTCTACCGAGTCTCCTATCTACCTACTCCAGGACTTCTGTGAGGACCAAATGAGATGAGGCATGTAAAAACGCTTCCCAAACATTTGGTTACAGTGTGAAATGTTTGCACTGGCTATAAAGCAAGTCGGGTTCCTGGGCTGAAGAAACTGAAAGGAGGCTAGTCATCGCTAGGGAGATGATGCTGGGCGTTGCTACGTGACATCATTACCCAGCTCCCACAGCCACCATTTCCAGGCTGGGCTGGGCTGTGGGCTACATTTTGCACCATGGGATCTTGGCAGCATTGGCTGCAATTGGTGGGGTATCACTCCCGGATGGTGGCAGGGGCTGTTCCCCACGTGGGGGAAGCTGAGTGTTGGTTTGTCAGTGCCAGGTCCATGGTGCCGTTTATTTTTAAATGGCCAATTCGCCTCATGGCAGCTCCTGCGTTGAGCGTCTGCCCCCTGGTGGTCAATGCGTATCATAGCTACCAGTCAGATGGACAGACAGCCTTTTATACATATAGATAATTATTGATATGGATGGATTTAAGCACGTAGACATTTAACTGGTTTTTTTATTTCCGTTATTCTTCTTTTCTGCATTCTTTGGGGTTGAGTATTTTTTAGAATTCCATTTTATTTTTATTTTATTATTTTTTAAATATATTTTATTGATTTTTCCCAGAGAGAAAGATTTTTTGCATACCTCCTACTGGGGATGTGCCCGCAACCAAGGTACATGCCCTTGGCCGGAATCGAACCTGGGACCTTTCAGTCCGCAGGCCGACGCTCTATCCACTGAGCCAAACCGGTCAGGGCTAGAATTCCATTTTAATTTGTCTATTGGCTTTTAAATTATATCTCCTCTGCTGTTTTTTTTTTTAAGTTGTTGCCCTAGGCCAGTGATGGCAAACCTATGACACGCGTGTCAGAGGTGACACGCGAACTCATTTTTCTGGTTGATTTTTCTTTGTTAAACGGCATTTAAATATATAAAATAAATATCAAAAATATAATTCTTTGTTTTACTATGGTTGCAAATATCAAAAAATTTCTATATGTGACACGGCACCAGAGTTAAGTTAGGGTTTTTCAAAATGCTGACACGCCGAGCTCAAAAGGTTCGCCATCACTGCCCTAGGCATTACAACATGCACCCTTATTTTATCACAGTCTACTTAGAGTTAATATTATATTACTTCATATGAAATTTCTAAGCCCTTCCCATTTTTAAACTATGGTTGACACGCATATTGTCTCTACATACATTGTAAATTCCACAAAGAATGTATTTTTAAAATAGAAATCTTTGTTTACTCAAATATTTACCATTGATATTTTTCTTACCTTCTTGAAGATCCTAGTTCTATCTGGTATTTTTACTTTCAAAAAGAAAGACCTCCCTTCGCTTTTTTGTAGTGAGGATCTACTAGCTATGAACTTTCTTATTTTTTGTTTATGAACATCTTTAGTTTGCCTTCATTCTTGACAGAGATTTTTGGTTGAATAGAATTCTGCGTTGACAGTTTTATTTTTTCCCTAACAGTTGGAGAGACCTTTTTCAATTATCTTCTAGCCTCTTTTTTCTTTTTATCCTGATTAGTCAGTAGTAACTTGTATTATTGTTCTTTGTGTGTAACTTGTGTTTTTATCTGCCTGCCTTCAAGATTTCTCTTGTGTATTTTTTAGTGGTTAATATTTTGTTTCTCATGTGCCTAGGTGGTTTTCTTTGTATTTGTTGTGCTTCATGAAACTTGACATTTTAGTCTTTCACCATATGTAGGAAATTTGGGGGCATGATTTTGCTACATATATTTCTGTCCCATTCTCTTTTTATAGGATTCCAGTTTTGATACTGTTCCTCCAAACCAGGTCACCAAGGCTCTGGTCCTTTGTTTTTATTTTCCCAACCTTTTTTCTTTCTCTTCTTCAGATTGGACAATTTCCACTAATTTATGTTCTCAATTTTTCTTTTGTAATCTCCAATCTCCTATAACCCAATCCAATGAAATTTTTAAAAATTTCAGATACTGAGTTTTTCAGTTCTAAAATTTTCCAGTTCTTTTTTTTTTTTTTAAAGTGTATTTTTATTGATTTCAGAGAGGAAAGGAGAGGGAGAGAGAGATAGAAACATCAATGATGAGAGAGAATCATTGACAGGCTGCCTCCTGCACGCCCCACAATGGAGCCCGCAACCCGGCATGTGCCCTGATCAGGAATCAAACTGTGACCTCCTGGTTCATAGGTTGATGCTCAACCACTGAGCCATGCCAGCTGGGCTCATTTGGTTCCTTTTTATAGCTTTTATTTCTCTACCAATATTTCTATTTGTTTAATTCATTGCGAGCATATTTTTCTTCATACTCTTGAGCTTAGTTTCAATAGCTGCTTTAAAATTTTTGGTAATTACCACATCTTGGTCATGTTGGGGTCTGCCCCACACATCTTTAATTCAGTAATGAGCCAGAGATGCCCGCAATTGCATATGTAGAATTTAGTGCTCTTTCTCTTTGGTTTTATCCTTTTCAGGATTTTCCCCTCACTTCCCAGCTGCTGTGAAGCTGTTTTCAGGTTTCTCAAGCCAATGTGATTGTGGGTAGTTTTCCCCACTACTCCCAGCAACAACTGGGGCCTTGCTTCCAACCAAGAGCAGTAAACAAATGGGACACTCACCTAGTGTTACTCCCTTCTAAGTATTGACTTCCCTTCAGTTTTCCCTGATGTTGATCATTCTCCAGCGCTTTTTATTTTGTCCAGGTTCATAGTTACTTATGAGAAAGCTAATAGGTCTGATAGGAGCCACTCTGCCATTTCTGGAAGAAGAGCCAGCGTTGAGCTATTAACTCCATTCTTTTAAGTGCATATATGTCCATGATATGGCATATATCTCTCCATTTATGTAGGCTTTTAAAAATGTCACATTGGCCCAGCTGGTGGGGCTCAGTGGTTGAGCATCGACATATGAACCAGGAGGTCAGAGTTTGATTCCCGATTGGAGAACATGCCCAGGTTGTGGGCTCAATCCCCAGTGTGGGGCATGCAGGAGGCAGCCGATCAGTGATTCTCTCTCATAATTGATGTTTCTATCTCTCTCCCTCCTTCTCCTTTTCTCTCTGAAATAAAAAATATATATATGTTAAAAATAAATAAATAAATATTTCAAATTGTTTTTATAGTTTTTTGGGTATAGTCTTATATATCATTTGCTAGGTTTATTCTTCATGGGTATTTTTTGATGCCCTTTCATTTTTTGTTTCTTGCTAGTATATATAGAAGTACAATTAGTTATAAAAATATTGACCTTGTACATAATAGTAACCTTGCTAATGTCACTCATTAATTCTAATAATTCATCTGTAGGTTTCCTTTGGAGTTTCTAGGTATGCAGTTTGCTGGGGTTCTTGTCCCAGCATTAAGAAGGGTTCAGGAATCTGGAGAAGACTGTGCGTAGATTTTAAATAAGAGTCCAGAGACGAAGTATAATTTTGAAAGGCATTTGGGGGTCAGAGGAGCTTAGCTAAAGGAGCTAAGATCCAAGATCTAAATTATCAGGTCTCAGGTCTAAGGCCTGAGGTTTTCCTCGTCCCCAGGACCCCATGCTTTTTATGAACACAACTTGTCCTGAGGTGAGGCAGAGATACACACGTCAAAGGGTATACAGAAACATTGTCAGAATGGGGGAATTAGCCTACGGCTGTTCAGGTGTTTGGCCAGTAGGAGGCAATAACGTAGATTAAGATGCCTTTTAGCTGTCTGGCAGCCAAGAATCAATTTAATGTATCCTATTCAGGTTTGGGGAAATGCCTTCAGCCATTCCCAGATGCAGCCCTGCTGTCATGCTGGAATTGGTCTCCGGCAGCAATTACATATTCTGATCACAGATTCAATTTCTGTTCTTTCTAATCCTTATACATTTTATGCCTTTCTTTTGCCTTATTGCTTTGGTTAGAACCTCTGATAGAGTTTTCAATAGTAGGTGTTTTTGTATTGTTCCTGATCTTAAAAGAGAAGGCTTTTAATATGGCACCATTAGGTACAGTGTTTCTTTAGTGTTGTTTTTTATTTTTTTTATTTTTTTATATTTTATTTTACAGAGAGGAAGGGAGAGAGATAGAGAGTTAGAAACATCGATCAGCTGCCTCCTGCACATCTCCTACTGGGGATGTGCCCGCAACCCAGGTACATGCCCTTGACCAGAATCGAACCTGGGACCTTTCAGTCCGCAGGCCGACGCTCTATCCACTGAGCCAAACCGGTTTCGGCTTTAGTGTTGTTTTTTAGATAATCTTATCAGACTAAGGAAATTCCCTTACTAGAAGAGTTTTCCATTTTTGTTTTTAAAATAAGAATGGATGCCCAGACGGCATGGTTCAGTGTTTGAGCATCGACCTGTAAACCAGGAGGTCATGGTTTGATTCCCGGTCAGGGCACATGCCTGGGTTTCAGGCTCGATCCCCAGTACGGGGTGTACAGCTGATCAATGATTCTCTCTCATCATTGATGTTTCTATCTCTCTCTCCCTCTCCCTTCCTCTCTGAAATCAATAAAAATATATTTAAAAAAATAATCCTATATAATCCTATATAATAAAGAGCTAATATGCTAATTAGACCGAACAGCTGTCCGGATAACCTTCTGGATGAAGCCGGGCTGCGAGGGCTGGCCGAGGTAGCCAGGGCTACAAGGGCCGGCTGGGGCTTCGAGGGCCGAGCTCCTAGCACAAATTTTGTGCATCGGGCCTCTAGTAATAAAATAAGAATGGATGGCCTGGCTGGTGTGGCTCAGTGATTGAGCGTCGACCTATGAACCAGGAGGTAACCGTTCGATTCCTGGTCAGAGCACATGCTAGGGTTGCACGTTCAATCCCCAGGGCATGTGCAGGAGGCAGCTGATCAATGAGAATTTTCTCTTATCATTGACATTTCTCTCTCTCTCTCTCTCTCTCTCTCTCTCTCTTTCTTCTTCTCTGAAATCAGTAAAAAAAATATATATTTTTTAAAAAGGATGGATGTTGAACTTTACCAAATGCTCATTATGCACCTAAGATGCTCATATGACTTTTCTCCTGTATTCTGTTAGTGTAATAAATCAGAAACTAATTTGGAAGTTATTCTTTTTATAAATTGCTGCATTTGGTTTGTAAAATTTGACCTATTTTTATTTATTTATTTATTTTTTATTAAAATATATTTTATTGATTTTTTTACAGAGAGGAAGTAAGAGGGATAGAGAGTTAGAAACATTGATGAGAGAGAAACATCGATCAGCTGCCTCCTGCACATCCCCCACTGGGGATGTGCCCCTAACCCAGGTACGTGCCCTTGACTGGAATCGATCCTGGGACCCTTCAGTCCGCAGGCCGATGCTCTATCCATTGAGCCAAATCAGTTAGGGCATTGACCTATTTTTAATCGCTTACCCACTCTCCTCCTCTCCTGCCAATGTGTCAGTTTGATTCTGATTGAGGAGTCTTCATGTAGCATTTATATTGAGTAAAAAAACTTCCCATAAGAAATCTAGACATTGATTTGTACACCAGCTAGGAAAGAAGGGTCATAAAACCTACAATATCGTTGTCCCATTTCCTGTGTTAGAATTCATTTTGATAGTGTCAGATTGTGGGGTGGGTTGCGGGCATGTTGCGGTGCTGTTTGTACAGTTGCTCTTAGGTCACCCCCCATATCTGGCCATGGACAGATTGTTTTTATTTCCATGAACTCTGCTGGAAAAGAGGTAACTGAAGCCCGTATTTGTGCTGCAGCTCCATCTGTTTGACATTGATGTTCCTGGGAAAATCACATTTCAAGAATCTAAAACATTGAGTCCTGGTGATAGTTTCTCCACATTTGAGACTCGTACGTACCAGATAAGTCCACCTCTTTTTGCATTCCCAGTAAAAGAGGACCAGGTATTCCTTTGTTGTTGTTTTCTTTATTATGCCCCTCCCTGATTTCTTTTTTTTTTAAATTAATCCTCACCCCCAGGATATTTTTCCATTGGTTTTTAGAGAGAGTGGAAGGGAGGGGGAGAGACAGAGAGAAAGAAGCATTGATGTGAAGGAGATACAACAATTGGTTGCCTTCAGCACTCACCCAGACCCAGGCCAGGGATCCAGCCTACATGCTGTTAACTGGAATTGAACCCGAGACCCTACAGTCCGTGGGCCAGTGCTCTATCCACTGAGCCAAACCGGCTAGAGCACTCCCCAGTTTCTTTACATAACGGATCCAGCCTACATGCTGTTAACTGGAATTGAACCCGAACCTGGCTGAATGGCCAGAAGTGAGAAGGGCAGAGAGCGGTCAGAGATCTGGAAAGGGCGGGCTGAATGGAGAACTAAAGAGTTTGACATGACTTTGCTCTTCCATTTGGCTACAGCCTCTTATTAGTGTGATAGTTTCCAGAGTGTACTTGTTAGGCCATAATTGAGCACCTCTCACTTAGATAATAAGCATTCAGTTAGAATGAATTTCTCATCTCTACTCTGCTGACGTAAATGACGTCTTTACGAGGTGACATCCAAGCAAGATCAAGCTTATAGATGTTCTCCACCACGGGCCCTGTGTCACTGTATCCCCACCGGTCAGTGATATTAACTCAGGAGACTTTACCCTCACACCATGCTGCAGGCTAACTTTCACTTGTGCGTTTTCTGTTTGTAAACAGCTTACTGCCGAGTGGGCCTAGGCATCTGCTACGACATCCGCTTTGCAGAGCTTGCACAAGTCTACGCGCAGAGAGGTAGGGCAGCACTGTGGTTGTGTTGTGTGGGTGCTTGGAGGTTTGAGTGGATAGAGGGAGCCCTTAGTCGGAAAAGCTGGAGGAGAGGTCTTAACCTCTCCACCCCCATCTGGCTTCTCACACTTTTGCTGTGTATGGACAGTGTGGTTTTCCAGAGGCTGTGATTTAACACGCCATGCGGCTAAGGCAAGACTTAAACATCTGCTCCACCCTTCCAGCCCTTCTTGCTGCTGTGTTTGCAAAGAGTCCCTTGGAGCCCAGTAGAAATGAAAACATGGTCTGTCCCTCGTGGATTTCACTATGCATAGTCCTAGATGGTGGGTGCAGTGGAAAAGTAGTCAGTGACATTTTGGTCCAGAGAAAAGGTGTCCTACCACCTAGCACCAAACCACGTCAGAAGATCAGGGTTCTGGTTCTAACTCTTTCCCCTACCTGGTATGATACTTTGAGTAAATGATTTCATTTCATTGTGGCTCCCAGTTTTCTCATAGGGATGGTGTGAGGACGAAGGAGAGAACTTATTAAAGCTCCTTGTATGGCACTCAACAAATATTAGCAGCCCTGCTAGCCTGTTGAAGCTACTCTGGTTCTGAATCAGCTGTCACTGAATGCAGTGAGGTGGATGCTGACAGTTTGCCTGCTCTGGGAAAGGCGGAGGCTCGGGCTCTGGGTCGGCAGTCTCTGTGGAGTCTTGTCCATGAGCCTAGAAGCACCTCCTCTGCCCCTCCTTTCAGTTGGAGGGCATTATAGAGCGTGGCCCTCGGCCATGCAGAGCTGACCCACTGGTGCCAAGAGAAATCTGAATGATAGTCTCCCCCCCCCCCTTTTTTTAAGCGAACTCACACATGGTGTTGGTTATCAATACCACTTTTCTCGTGTGTCCGTCTGCACCATGCGAGTGTCTCTAAGAGAATTCAGAGCCATAACCTAATGTTGCCGACACTGACTTTTATGCGTGGGAAAGTTGGAGTTTGGTCCCCACTGGGTGGAGAGCAAAGGGCGGGACCAGGGAGGTCGGGTGTTCCTCTCACCGACTCTCGGCCTCCCTCTCCCCTAGGCTGCCAGCTGTTGGTCTATCCTGGAGCTTTTAATTTGACCACTGGACCAGCTCACTGGGAGTTGCTTCAGCGAGGCCGGTAAGACAGCATATCAGCATACCTTCCAGCATCCCAGCGTCTCTCTGGAAAGATTTCAGGGCGGTGGAAGTGCCAGCCTTCCTGGTACAGAATGGTGCCTGTGACTCAATTCCGCAGCACCCAATTGCATTTCAAATAGGTGCATCTTTTCGTCTTTCAGCCCAAAGGGAAGGCTTCTGCTGGGAACCTTCTCTTCAGAAGCCACAGCATCAGTCTCTTAGATTTTGGGAGACTGTGGTTTTGCATTTCCAAGAGCTTTTAGTGCATCAAGTGGGCAGCGATTTCATTTACTGTGATTAGATGTGAGCTGGTTTCCCTGGGACAGTTGCCGGCAACTTTTACAGAGAATTGGAGACCCATGGAGTATGCATATTCAGAGCGCAGAAGCCCAGGAAAAGCAGGAGTTATTTTAGCCTGACAGCCCAGGGGAGAGGATTGTGGTCTTCACACAGCTGGCCCTGTGCTGTTTGATTGGGGTGCTTACCCCACCCCAACTTCCACAGCAGCCTGCTAGTCCCAGGGGTGCTCTGCCAGGAACCTTGTTATAAACCCTTGTGCTTCTAACCTCTAAATGCTGGGCATCACACAGCTATCTCTGATGTTTCCTTAGTCCCCTGAGGCTGAGCCGTGAAAGGCAGGTAGCAGGGGTGGATGGAACATGGAAGGGAAAAGGAGTGTGACTGTGTGTAAAGTGCTCTGCAAACCATGAAATGCTGGTCAGAGACGATGGGTTTCTTGATTAAATGTTTTTGTTTTATGTATTTTTAAAAATGTATATATTTTTATTTATTTCAGAGAGGAAGGGAGAGGGAAGAGAGATAGAAACATCAATGAGGAGAGAAAATCGATAGGCTGCCTTCTGCACGCCCCCTACTGGAGATCGAGCCCCAAACCCTGGCATGTGCCTTGTCTGGGAATCGAACCCTGACCATCTGGTTCATGAGTCAATGCTCTACCACTGAGCCACACTGGCCAGGCTTGATTAAATGTTTTTTAAATTGAGGTATAAAACACTTACAGAAAAGTGCACTAATTTTACCTCTATAGGCCGGTCAGTGAATGTTGACGTATGTACCACCTACAATCAAGATCAACATATGGAACATTTCCCAATCCCTAGAATGGTCCCTTTTGCTCCTTCCTAGTCAGTGCCCTTTTCTCTCTGCCTAGAGGTGGCTACTGTTCTCCCTTCTAGAGATGATGGTAATTTTTACTGCAGGGGGATGTAGAGGTGTTTTCCTGGTTGCGTTGTAGAAGGTGGAGTAGGGGTGTGTGTTACCATGAATACTAATAAATGCAGTAAAAGTGGAAAGCAAGAAAAGCTTGGGCGAGACTGGCATGACTAGCATGGATCTATTGATTGAGCCCAGAGAGCTCCCAGGTGAGGTGGCTTGATGTACCCAGGCTGGACACCTGAAGTTCTGATCTAACCTGAGGTGATGGCACAGCCACCATTGGCATGGAAGTGCCATACATCCCTCAACGTGTATTGCCCCATCAAGGCCAACCCATTGGCCTTGGCCACCTTGGCTTGCATTAACCCCAGATAAGTTCTTTTAGTGGTTGGCTCAGGCCAGAGTCTGTCCACTGTGGCAGTAGTAACATTTTGGACCAGATTATTCTGTGTTGTGGGAGGCTCTCCTGTGCACTGTAGGATGGTTAGCAGCATTTCTGACTTCCACCCACTGGTTGCTAGTAGCATCCCCCTAGTTATGACAATTAAAAAATCACCAACCCGGCCGGCGTTGATACCTATGAACCAGGAAGTCACGGTTTGATTCCTGGTCAGTTGCCAGCTCGATCCCCAGGGTGGGGCATGCAGGAGGCAGCCAATCAATGACTCTCATCATTGATATTTCTAGCGCTCGCGCTCTCTCGCGCTCTCTCTCTCTCTCTCTCTCTCTCCCCCTCTCCCCCTCCCCCTTCCTCTCTGAAACAATAAAAAAATATTTTTGTAAAAAGAAAGGTCTCCAGACACTGGCAGATGTCCCCTGCTGGCCAAAGTTGCCCCAATGAGAACTGCTTAAGTAATAAGATGATTTTTGAAGAGAGGGTTCCGTGGCTTTGCGTGTTTCCTTCTACATCTGAGCCAGCCTGTCCTATCCTAGTTTTGAAAAGAAGGATCGGTCCACTTAGGATAGGAAAGTGCCTCAGATCTGTAATGTATGCTATCCCTGTTTTCTGTCCATTAACTCCAGGGCTGTTGATAACCAGGTGTATGTGGCCACGGCATCTCCGGCCCGAGACGACAAAGCCTCCTATGTTGCCTGGGGACACAGCACTGTCGTGAATCCTTGGTGAGTGGCCTGAGCAGGGACAGGCTCACTAGGAGCTCACTTGGGCGGGTGGGCTGTCTGACTGGTGATTGGCTCTGCCCCTCACCCACCCGGTCCGGTGCCTGCCGGGTGGCTGCCTCTCGTGTGAGGAAGCTTCCTCTTGAGGACCATGTGAGAAAGAAACGGCCCTGCTCTCCTGACTGAGGCCTGGCCTTCGCCCTCTTCTGAGTGTCTGTTGTCAGTCAGACTTGGATCATAGGGGACACAGGGCAGCAGTGATGGGTGGCAGTTTTAGTGAAACAGGCCTCCAATTCTCCGCTTTTGGTTAAAATTTAGACTGGGTGACGGGGGTGTCAGGCAGGAATGAGTTACAGGGTGAGGATTCTGCTCCTGGAATACTTAGAGGAGGGGGCAGATGGCTTCAATAAGGGAAACAGAGTTTGTCCTCTGTGAGAGGGCGGAGCATTTTACTGCTCAGCGAGACCAGCATGAAAGTCTGCCCAGGTGCACATGCAGGCGTCTACTGATGCACGTACCATGGTCTCTACCTGCAGTTCACACCGCTCTTTTACACGTGGTCTCAGTGTGAACGCCAGGGACTTACCTTCTGGTAAGCCCGGTTTATAGATGGTGGAATTGAAGTTCACAAGCTAAAGTGGCTAGAACTGGTGTTTGGATCCAGGTTTTGACTTCAGAACTTGGATTTATGCCATATGTATGATCACGCACACACACGCACACACACACAGATACGTATTTCTACAATTTCAGGATGCACATACCAGTAACAAGGCTGAGAAGGGTTCCTGGTCACTGTGGGGTCCCTAAAGCTTCTCTCTTCAGACTCTGTAGGACCCACAGATTAAAGCATGTGATAAGGGGAGTCCTTGAAAATGTGACCAGCAAGAGATTCCCTGCACATCAGGATTTGGGGGGCATTGGGAAACTGGAAGGATTAAGTTGGCCTGAAAATTTTCTCGGACATGATTCCAGTCCCTCTGCCTAGATGTTAATGATGCACCTCTGCTTCGCCTGGCTCTGCTGATGAACTCTGGTGCTGGCCAGGCTGGTCGCTTCTGACAGAGTAGCTCTACAAGGTTTACCTTAATTTCTTCCTTTTCAGAATTCCATTTGTAGGGTTTAGGGGCCTTCTGACTTATATTGACTTTGGGATGGGTGCCTGGGGTTAACATAGAGAGAGATCTTTGAATGCCAGGGAAAATGAGGAAGAAAGAGAATAGGAAAGGATTCAGTTAAACGGCATTAATAATTGTGTTTGTAGCTCATTTGTGCCAAATCTGTTTGTGACCGTCAGGTAAACGGAACCAGTTACTATGTGAATTGTTTGTTATGCCAGTTACCTTGTGCTGTGCTTTGGAGAGATGGCATTTCCCTAGGTCTGTGTTGGAAGCCCTGCGTTGGGCGGGGAGATGCAGCATCAGAAGTGTTTTCCAGATCAGCCTTTCCCCAGATTTATGAAGGAGTGTTGTTGTCTCCAAGTGTGGGGCTCCTGCCGGGTGTGGTTTCCCCAGCACTGCTACTCATACCCACAGATTGAAACTTTTCCTTCAAACACAGAAAGCCCTTAACATAGGACTGCAGGGGGCACAGGCATAAGACCAGAGGTCCACACAGATCTGGGCCATGCCCAGGGCCTGCCTCACTCTCCCAGAGTCAGGGAGCAGCCCTGGGAGGGGTGAAGAAGCAGAGCCAGACCGCCCTTGTCAAGGATTCCTGTGGACATGCACTCCTGAGGGTATGGGGGGCACCTCCCTTTGGTTATACATGGCTCTGGCCCAGATGTTTATGTCATGGAATAAGAAAACTAGGAGTTTGCAGTTTAGAAAATATACTCCATAATTTTCTCACTAAATCCTAGCAGAGCTTTTATTTCCACTTTATAATTTATTAAAAGTGACTTGGCTTAAGGCCACACAGCATTTTATTTTATTTTTTTAATATATTTTATTGATTTTTTTTACAGAGAGGAAGGGAGAGGGATAGAGAGTTAGAAACATTGATGAGAGAGAAACATCGATCAGTTGCCTCCTGCACACTCCCCACTGGGTATGTGACTGCAACCAAGGTACATGCCCTTGGCTGGAATCGAACCTGGGACCCTTGAGTTCGCAGGCCGATGCTCTATCCACTGAGCCAAGCTGGTTAGGGCCACACAGTGTTTTAAATGGTAGAACAGGAGTTTATATCCTTACTTTCTGGTTTTAAATCTCGGATTCCTTGCCCTTTGGCCTGACAGATGGGGAGAAAAGACAGAGAGAGGTCTTGAATATCAACAAATGTCAGTGAACCCACTCACCTCCCCTGAATCTTTTTCAGGGGGGAGGTCCTGGCCAAAGCTGGCACTGAAGAGACGATCGTGTATTCAGACATAGGTAAGATCTGCCTCGCCCAGGGCATCAGGTTAGGTCTCTGGCATCCCCAATGCTCTGAGGCCAGATTCCATAGCTG